GTGTGCTCCCACTCAGACACCAGGCCACCTTGGGTGGCGCAGGGTCTCAGGGCTCTGCCTGGATCTCCCAAAACCTCTTCCTGTGTCGGAATAATATGCTATGATTGTAGGTCTCAGTAGGTCTCAGACAAGGAGCCAACTACATAAATTGCAGAAATGACTTGCTCTAAGCTCTTTTAACTCAGGGTAAGCAGAGAGCCACTAGAAGACAGGAGCAAAGCAGTGTATTTTCCTTCTGCCATCCCCCGCCCTGCTGGGGGGTGGGTGAGAGAAAAGGGGCAAAGGACCCTCAGCAGGTCCAGCTCCCTGCAGGCCTGCTGCCTACCTTGCAGGCCCTTTCCTGCCCTGGGGTGGTGGGAGTAGAGAGGCTACCCTGTGCCTGCTTTATCACACTTCTCTTGCCTTTATTCTCTGGATTATACAACTCTGGAGCATTTCACAAGACCTAACGCAGCAGGAGCTGGGTGATACCAGCCCAGCTCCAGGGCCTTCTAGAAGCCCAAGGCAGACGTGCTGTTCTGTTCTCTCTCCCTCCCTCTCCGACTGTAGGGAAGGTGGGGCTTGGAAAAGGCGGGTGGGGAGTCAGGCTCACAGAATGCCTGCTTGAAAGCAGAGCTAGGGGGATTAAAAAAGGGTGGGAGGGGGCAGGCCAAGTGGAAATATAGTCCACCAAAGGCCCCAGGGAAAAAGGGAAAGATGACAGAAAAAGATGTCCATGGGTCCTGAGAGAGGAAGGCAGGAGAGAAAAGGCAGACCACAGTGGCCAGGGGAATGTCAGAACCAATCCCTGGTCAAAGGCCAAATTTGTGTTGTCTGAGTTGCTGCTGAGAAAAGATCCATGGCGGTGTGTGAGCCTGCCTTTGTGTGTGTATGAGGACAGGAGCCTGTGTGAGACAGACAGACAGACACACACACACACACACATACAACACACACACACAACACACACACACACACACACAACACACACACACACACACACACACACACACACACACACACAACACACACACACACACACACACACAGCTGTAGGGTTAGCCTATGCCAGAAGCTGCTGCATTCCTCTTAACCCCAAAACCAGCCCTCCTCCTTCCAAAATGCTTTCTCATTATTTGCAGGCACATTTTCCCCACCACACTCAGCTCTTGTTTCTCAATTTCTATATGCTTGCTGCAGTTGAGATTCTTTCTTCCTTGCTCTGTAATGCAACTGTAAAAACACCTGCATTTTATTAAGGCTGCCTGGAGCCGGGCTCAGCCGGGCTCCCAGCTTTCCTTCTCGGCCATGCTCAGTGAAGCAAAGCACCAGGGTTAACCCTGTGTGGCTGGGTCTCTTTCCTGCAGACCTGGGCACCCATGACGGGTGCAGATGAGGGGAGCCCCCAGGTCCCCTGGATGGCTTGGCAGGCAAATGAAAGCTCCCTGGGCCCCACACTGCCCTAGACTTTTGCTCTGTTTCTCTTATCACTGCCCCTCTGTCCAGATTATGAGGACATTATTCTGTCTTGGATTATTTGCAAATTTCTAAAAGAAACTCCTAAGAAGGCTGGCCCTTTAAGCATCTTCTCCATCCTTTTGCCTGCAGAAGTCTTTGGGAGTCAATCATTCTAGAAAAATAGCCACTTTCCTCTTTAAAGTATTTTAAATAAGGAAAGCATAAAGAATATAAAAATGGCCCTAATCCTATCATCCTGAGAGTCCTGTTAACATTTCTTTTAATGCAATACATGCACATGGCTAAAAAAATGTATAGGAAGGTATAACGTGAAACTTATTTTTCTCCTCTCAAACCAGTTATTCCTCCCAAAGGAATTATTAAATTATTAAATTATTAAATTATTAAATTATTAATAGTTCCTTGTGTATCCTTATAGGGGAAGAATATGGGTATATACACACATCTTCTTTTTAAATTAAGAATATATGTGGAATTCTGGCCATATCAGCACATCCCTTCATCCTCTTCCCTGGTTGCATATTAACTTATAGTATGACTGTCTCATAGTTTATTTAACCAGTGTCCTAGTGATGGGCATGGGGGCTGCTTCCAGTTTATGACCTAACAAACATGGCTGCAGTGAGCATCTCTGGGTGTACACCTCGGGTATTCATCTGTGAGTACATCTGCAGGGAAATTCCTACCGGTGCAGTTGCAGGGTCAAGGGATATGTTCAGTCAACATTTTGTTATTCTTTTTAAAAAAAGGTTGTTTCTTTTCTTGCCCTTCTCCATTTTTTTCTACCAAGTAAATTCCTAATCATCTGTCAGAGTCCAGCTCAAATTCCATCTCCTTCCCTGATTGCTTCAAGGAGCCTACTGGCTCCCCCTTCCATGCTTCCTTAGCTCTCTGACCTAAGCCTTACCACAGCTCAATTTTTTAGTGTCTGTTGTTCATACAACATTATGAACAACAATAGAAGAACATTGACATCTTTTCTCCTTTCTTTGCTTTTGTCTCTTTAAAAAATTTTTCTGTGTGCAATTCCACTTCAGGATATGTGCCCAAAATGATTGAAAGCAGGGACTTGAACAGATATGTGTACACCCATGTTCATAGCCACATTCTTCACAACAGTCAAAAGGTGTAAATAACCCAAATGTCCATTGAACAGATAAAATGTGGTATAGTAGTCCCCCCCATCTGAACTTTCGCTTTCCAAGGTTTCAGTGGTGAACCTTGGTTTGGAAACAGATGATCCTCCTGATGTATTGTCAGAAGGTTAATAGTAGCTGAACGCTATGTTACAATGCCTGTGTCATTCACCTCACTTCATCTCATCACATAGGCATTTTATCATCTCACATCCTCACGAGAAGAAGGGTGAGTACAATTTTTAGAAAGAGAGAGAGAGACCATATTCACGTAACTTTTATTACAGTATATTGTTCTAATTCTTCTACTTCATTGTTAGTTTTTCTTGTTAATCTCTTACTGTGCCTAACTTATAAATTAAACTTTATTGTAGGTATGTATTTTGGGGAAAAATGTAGCATATATAGGATTCAGTACTATCTGCAGCTTCAGGCATCCACTGGAGGTCTTGGAATGTATTCTCTGTGGATAAGTGGGGAGACTACTCTATATCCATACAATGGAATATTATTCAGCCTGAAAAAGGAAGGAAATTCTGACACATGTGACAACATGGATGAACCTTGATGATATTATGCTAAGTGAAATAAGCCAGACACACACAAGGTAATTATTGTATGATTCCATTAATATGAGGTACCTAGCATAGTCAAATTCATAAAGACAGAAAGTAAAATGGTGGCTGCCAAGGTTTGGGGAGAGAGGGAATGGGAAATTAGCGTTTAATGGGTACAGAGCTTCAGTTTGAGAAGATGAAAAAGTTCTGGGGATGGTTGCACAATATTGTGAATATTCAAAATGGTTAAAATGCTAAATTTAATGTTATGCATATTTTACCACAATACAATTTTTTTTCCTTCACATGAAAATGTACCATCTCACAGATTCAAAGTTCCTGGCAAGCTCTCTCCATGGCTCAATGTAACCCTCCCTTTACCTCAAGGCAATGCTGACCAAATAAGATTGGAGAGTACTTATCCTATTTTCAGATATTTCCAGGGAAGGGAGCCCATGACATTATTAGGCAATCTTTTCCAGTGTCTCAAAACCCCAGACATTCTTGGTACCAGACCTTTCCTGCTGCACCTGAAGTTAATTTTTCCCTGGTCAGTAAGTGCTTTGTCAGGCCATGGACTCGTCACACACTCAGAAGCTCTTGTTACACCATCCTTCAGCACGAGAGCTGAGGGCACCCAGTAATAGGCTGGTGAGCAGGTTCAGAGACCTTGTGAGATTTCCTCCCACACTTGCTTCTCAGCAGCGTGATGGTTCACGCTGTTAGGCTTTGATTTCTAAGCAGAGCCCGGAGCAAGGATCCCAGGCCCCTGGCAGGGGAAGGAGCCCACCCGCCTCTCCCCTCCTTTGGGCACTAGAGCCTTTCTCTCTTGGCTCTGCACCTGTGGTGTTCTTTGCAGGCCTTTTGCTGACAGAGTAGAGTCCCCCAGAGGATGGGACAGAGCTCACAACTCATTTCAGCAGTCCCCTTAGACTCTCTCCTCTGACCAGATACCACCTGGCATCTAAAGCAGCTGCTTGGAAGGTGTACCTGGCAGGTGTGTTCCCCACGAACTGGAACCTGCTGACCTTGTCATCTTGGGAACATCAATGGGCTAATGAGAGAACAGGAGCTGAGCAAGACTTCATCACCTGGGTGCCTATCGACCGCAGGCTTGCAAGGCCTGACAAGACTCACAAATGTTGTCAGGGGCTGAGAGGAAGTGGATTCCCTCTCTGCTGGGGGGACCTGGCCCCCAGCCCCCTTGTGGGGCACAGGAAGGGGAGGGGGCGAAGCTGAATGGTGGCTGCATGCTCAGTGACTCAGATGCCATTGCTACCACAAGGGAAATCTGTGTGGGGCTGGGCACCTCCAGAGACCTCACTCACCTGTGATCTGGGAGATAATAACAGATCTTCTGTGTTTGCGTGCCAGGCCTGTCAGCTCCGAAACAGTAGGCAACAGACTCCTTTTAACGTTTCCGATTTCAGCTCATGGTTTATGTGCAGACCATGGCCTCGAGAAAGGGCTGAGCCCTGAGGAAGATGGCCGCCCTCATACTGGCTGCAGCTGATGCTGAGATGAGTGGGGGGAGTCCCCACAGGCAGTCCAGTGACAGGTTTGGTGTGAACGAAGTGATGGGCATTAACGCTAACAGAGTTTGTGTATCATAAAGTGGCCTTGGTCCTTTTTGTTTCCCAATAAGCTAAAATGTCCAACAGAGTGGATTCCAGATGCACTGGCAGAATTTTCATTACAGCAGGGTTGCTAAGGGACTGTCCTCTTGTAAGCATTTTGGAAATGCTAGTGCTAATATTTGGTTGTTTTGTGTCTTTTTAAAAAATTGCTGTGTGTGTTTATTTTTATTTTTTTAGTTGTATTTGTTCCTACTTCATCCCTCAACCCCCAAACTCAGCCACCCAAGGAGCTGATTTCAGGAAACTGAAGAAATTAAGTGTCGCAGAAGCGATGGGCAAGCTTGTCTCAGTTTCACATGAAGAAAAGGGCTATATCTGTGTCCCTCACCACTGAATTCCCAGTATCTTGCATGTTGCTGGCATTGAGAGGGTCTGATAAATAATTGATAAATCTTAACAGGAGAAAAACTAGTCACAGAGAGTTCACCTGAGTTGCCTGAAATTCCACAGCAAATCAACAACACGACCAGCAGAATCTGCCTTTCCAGCCCACGGGCTGGGCTTTGCAGGAAGGCACATTGCTACGGCTCTTTTTAAGCACAGCTTTAGATGGCAAGTAGCTCTCCCAAGGGAAGCAGCGGCCAGGACTGGGTCTTGAAGCTCAGGACTGGCTTTAAACCTGTGTCTCAGACAGGGTAGGCAGGGCCCAAAGGCTTCAAAGAGCTGGGTTGTGTCCTGATTTGGGTAAATTGGGCCTTACTGCTGTAATCCTTGGTGTTGGAGTTCCCTTGGCCAAGAATTTGCAAGAAGCTGAATTCTTGAAGGTGCCTGTGGAAAGGGTCATCCCTTCTGGCTCTGTGGGCTGGTCACCCTCCTCTAGGACAGGCTCCAGAGAGCCTAGAGCAAAAGGGACAGTGCACCTGCCTTCTTCCTTGCTTGTAGAGCTCTGTTCTCCTTCATAAGGAGAAACCTTCCCAAGATTTTTTTTTTATTAGCTGGGTTCAGAAAGCCCCTGTGCCCCTAGACAACGCTGACTGGCTCAGAATGTGAGCAGGAAGGAAACCGACTTTCCAAGAGGGCTCTGTGCTTGGACTGACCGTCCTTTGCATCTTGGTCCTGAGAGCTGTGTGACTGAGAGCATGGGACAGAGATAGCAACTGAACCGGGCTTTTGAACACCTTTGTTTGCTGTACCTCTGTTTCCCCACCAAGAGCCTGTTGTCAGAGAGTTTTGAAAAGCCAATCCAGGGAAACCCCTGAAACAGCAGGAAGCTCTGGGCCTTCCCCAGCCCCTGCTCTTTAGACTTCCCCAGAGCCCGATGTCCTTCCACATACATTCCTGTTCCATCTGTGGCCCACACAGCCTGGGGCATGGTGGAGGCCTGAGGCAACGATGGTTTTGCTGAGGCCATCAGAGAAGCTTACAAAGCATGCTTGGCCACTGGCTGGGCTTATGGGATACTCGTGGAACTGGTGTGGGCTACCATGGGTTCCCTATGGGACAATTAGCTCACCCAGTTGCAGTCCATCAAAGGACTTGCTTGATATTCTGGTCCTCTTTCTGTTCCTGTTTCCTCTCCCCTTGGGGTACCTCTCCTCCCCTTTTCTTACCATTCCTCCTTTTTCTGAGGTCTCAGCACCATGAAACTGTAAGGACCCTGATACTGGGACCATCTCACAGAACCAGCTTTTTCCAAGCCCACTTTATTGCTGTGAAGAGTCTGAAAGCTTTTTCTTTAAAAGATAAGTTGGGTGAGGGTCAGGAGAGTGCTGAGAAGCTCCGTCTGTTTCTTCTTTCTTTCCCTTTCCCCCTCTGGTGCTGAGAGACCAGATTTTTTTCCTTTTTTACAGTACATTTTGGCAGGCCCCCTTTTTTCTGACAGAAAAAAAATAACCGGCATATTTTGGGCGATTACTCAACTGGGGTCCTTTGTGACAGGATATGCAGCTGCGTGACTAATGGAGCTGGCTTTCTCCAGGCTTCCTTCCCCTTTCAGAACTCTTGTTTACTGCCCTATACCAAAAAAA